GTTGCCAAAGACCTCGTAGATATGCTGCTCCAGGATCACGTTGTTGTGCCACGCGCCACTTCAGAGGCGTGCCAGTATGTGTCGTGTGTCGTTCTCCAGACCCACCTTTAGGAAGTTCCCTTTTCTTGTTTCGTTTTGTTTCCTGGAAGCAAGGGAAAACCACGGTCCATACAGGGCAATCCACCTGCTGAAACGCGATGATGTTCTCCTTTCGGGTCGTGTGCGCGTATTCAATCTCCCAGTCGACGCCTTGGGAGCTGAAGAAGTTGCCAAAGACCTCGTAGATATGCTGCTCCAGGATCACGTTGTTGTGCCACGCGCCACTTCAGAGGCGTGCCAGTATGTGTCGTGTGTCGTTCTCCAGACCCACCTTTAGGAAGTTCCCTTTTCTTGTTTCGTTTTGTTTCCTGGAAGCAAGGGAAAACCACGGTCCATACAGGGCAATCCACCTGCTGAAACGCGATGATGTTCTCCTTTCGGGTCGTGTGCGCGTATTCAATCTCCCAGTCGACGCCTTGGGAGCTGAAGAAGTTGCCAAAGACCTCGTAGATATGCTGCTCCAGGATCACGTTGTTGTGCCACGCGCCACTTCAGAGGCGTGCCAGTATGTGTCGTGCGTCGTTCTCCAGACCCACCTTTAGGAAGTTCCCTTTTCTTGTTTCGTTTTGTTTCCTGGAAGCAAGGGAAAACCACGGTCCATACAGGGCAATCCACCTGCTGAAACGCGATGATGTTCTCCTTTCGGGTCGTGTGCGCGTATTCAATCTCCCAGTCGACGCCTTGGGAGCTGAAGAAGTTGCCAAAGACCTCGTAGATATGCTGCTCCAGGATCACGTTGTTGTGCCACGCGCCACTTCAGAGGCGTGCCAGTATGTGTCGTGCGTCGTTCTCCAGACCCACCTTTAGGAAGTTCCCTTTTCTTGTTTCGTTTTGTTTCCTGGAAGCAAGGGAAAACCACGGTCCATACAGGGCAATCCACCTGCTGAAACGCGATGATGTTCTCCTTTCGGGTCGTGTGCGCGTATTCAATCTCCCAGTCGACGCCTTGGGAGCTGAAGAAGTTGCCAAAGACCTCGTAGATATGCTGCTCCAGGATCACGTTGTTGTGCCACGCGCCACTTCAGAGGCGTGCCAGTATGTGTCGTGCGTCGTTCTCCAGACCCACCTTTAGGAAGTTCCCTTTTCTTGTTTCGTTTTGTTTCCTGGAAGCAAGGGAAAACCACGGTCCATACAGGGCAATCCACCTGCTGAAACGCGATGATGTTCTCCTTTCGGGTCGTGTGCGCGTATTCAATCTCCCAGTCGACGCCTTGGGAGCTGAAGAAGTTGCCAAAGACCTCGTAGATATGCTGCTCCAGGATCACGTTGTTGTGCCACGCGCCACTTCAGAGGCGTGCCAGTATGTGTCGTGTGTCGTTCTCCAGACCCACCTTTAGGAAGTTCCCTTTTCTTGTTTCGTTTTGTTTCCTGGAAGCAAGGGAAAACCACGGTCCATACAGGGCAATCCACCTGCTGAAACGCGATGATGTTCTCCTTTCGGGTCGTGTGCGCGTATTCAATCTCCCAGTCGACGCCTTGGGAGCTGAAGAAGTTGCCAAAGACCTCGTAGATATGCTGCTCCAGGATCACGTTGTTGTGCCACGCGCCACTTCAGAGGCGTGCCAGTATGTGTCGTGTGTCGTTCTCCAGACCCACCTTTAGGAAGTTCCCTTTTCTTGTTTCGTTTTGTTTCCTGGAAGCAAGGGAAAACCACGGTCCATACAGGGCAATCCACCTGCTGAAACGCGATGATGTTCTCCTTTCGGGTCGTGTGCGCGTATTCAATCTCCCAGTCGACGCCTTGGGAGCTGAAGAAGTTGCCAAAGACCTCGTAGATATGCTGCTCCAGGATCACGTTGTTGTGCCACGCGCCACTTCAGAGGCGTGCCAGTATGTGTCGTGTGTCGTTCTCCAGACCCACCTTTAGGAAGTTCCCTTTTCTTGTTTCGTTTTGTTTCCTGGAAGCAAGGGAAAACCACGGTCCATACAGGGCAATCCACCTGCTGAAACGCGATGATGTTCTCCTTTCGGGTCGTGTGCGCGTATTCAATCTCCCAGTCGACGCCTTGGGAGCTGAAGAAGTTGCCAAAGACCTCGTAGATATGCTGCTCCAGGATCACGTTGTTGTGCCACGCGCCACTTCAGAGGCGTGCCAGTATGTGTCGTGCGTCGTTCTCCAGACCCACCTTTAGGAAGTTCCCTTTTCTTGTTTCGTTTTGTTTCCTGGAAGCAAGGGAAAACCACGGTCCATACAGGGCAATCCACCTGCTGAAACGCGATGATGTTCTCCTTTCGGGTCGTGTGCGCGTATTCAATCTCCCAGTCGACGCCTTGGGAGCTGAAGAAGTTGCCAAAGACCTCGTAGATATGCTGCTCCAGGATCACGTTGTTGTGCCACGCGCCACTTCAGAGGCGTGCCAGTATGTGTCGTGCGTCGTTCTCCAGACCCACCTTTAGGAAGTTCCCTTTTCTTGTTTCGTTTTGTTTCCTGGAAGCAAGGGAAAACCACGGTCCATACAGGGCAATCCACCTGCTGAAACGCGATGATGTTCTCCTTTCGGGTCGTGTGCGCGTATTCAATCTCCCAGTCGACGCCTTGGGAGCTGAAGAAGTTGCCAAAGACCTCGTAGATATGCTGCTCCAGGATCACGTTGTTGTGCCACGCGCCACTTCAGAGGCGTGCCAGTATGTGTCGTGCGTCGTTCTCCAGACCCACCTTTAGGAAGTTCCCTTTTCTTGTTTCGTTTTGTTTCCTGGAAGCAAGGGAAAACCACGGTCCATACAGGGCAATCCACCTGCTGAAACGCGATGATGTTCTCCTTTCGGGTCGTGTGCGCGTATTCAATCTCCCAGTCGACGCCTTGGGAGCTGAAGAAGTTGCCAAAGACCTCGTAGATATGCTGCTCCAGGATCACGTTGTTGTGCCACGCGCCACTTCAGAGGCGTGCCAGTATGTGTCGTGCGTCGTTCTCCAGACCCACCTTTAGGAAGTTCCCTTTTCTTGTTTCGTTTTGTTTCCTGGAAGCAAGGGAAAACCACGGTCCATACAGGGCAATCCACCTGCTGAAACGCGATGATGTTCTCCTTTCGGGTCGTGTGCGCGTATTCAATCTCCCAGTCGACGCCTTGGGAGCTGAAGAAGTTGCCAAAGACCTCGTAGATATGCTGCTCCAGGATCACGTTGTTGTGCCACGCGCCACTTCAGAGGCGTGCCAGTATGTGTCGTGTGTCGTTCTCCAGACCCACCTTTAGGAAGTTCCCTTTTCTTGTTTCGTTTTGTTTCCTGGAAGCAAGGGAAAACCACGGTCCATACAGGGCAATCCACCTGCTGAAACGCGATGATGTTCTCCTTTCGGGTCGTGTGCGCGTATTCAATCTCCCAGTCGACGCCTTGGGAGCTGAAGAAGTTGCCAAAGACCTCGTAGATATGCTGCTCCAGGATCACGTTGTTGTGCCACGCGCCACTTCAGAGGCGTGCCAGTATGTGTCGTGTGTCGTTCTCCAGACCCACCTTTAGGAAGTTCCCTTTTCTTGTTTCGTTTTGTTTCCTGGAAGCAAGGGAAAACCACGGTCCATACAGGGCAATCCACCTGCTGAAACGCGATGATGTTCTCCTTTCGGGTCGTGTGCGCGTATTCAATCTCCCAGTCGACGCCTTGTGAGCTGAAGAAGTTGCCAAAGACCTCGTAGATATGCTGCTCCAGGATCACGTTGTTGTGCCACGCGCCACTTCAGAGGCGTGCCAGTATGTGTCGTGCGTCGTTCTCCAGACCCACCTTTAGGAAGTTCCCTTTTCTTGTTTCGTTTTGTTTCCTGGAAGCAAGGGAAAACCACGGTCCATACAGGGCAATCCACCTGCTGAAACGCGATGATGTTCTCCTTTCGGGTCGTGTGCGCGTATTCAATCTCCCAGTCGACGCCTTGGGAGCTGAAGAAGTTGCCAAAGACCTCGTAGATATGCTGCTCCAGGATCACGTTGTTGTGCCACGCGCCACTTCAGAGGCGTGCCAGTATGTGTCGTGTGTCGTTCTCCAGACCCACCTTTAGGAAGTTCCCTTTTCTTGTTTCGTTTTGTTTCCTGGAAGCAAGGGAAAACCACGGTCCATACAGGGCAATCCACCTGCTGAAACGCGATGATGTTCTCCTTTCGGGTCGTGTGCGCGTATTCAATCTCCCAGTCGACGCCTTGGGAGCTGAAGAAGTTGCCAAAGACCTCGTAGATATGCTGCTCCAGGATCACGTTGTTGTGCCACGCGCCACTTCAGAGGCGTGCCAGTATGTGTCGTGTGTCGTTCTCCAGACCCACCTTTAGGAAGTTCCCTTTTCTTGTTTCGTTTTGTTTCCTGGAAGCAAGGGAAAACCACGGTCCATACAGGGCAATCCACCTGCTGAAACGCGATGATGTTCTCCTTTCGGGTCGTGTGCGCGTATTCAATCTCCCAGTCGACGCCTTGTGAGCTGAAGAAGTTGCCAAAGACCTCGTAGATATGCTGCTCCAGGATCACGTTGTTGTGCCACGCGCCACTTCAGAGGCGTGCCAGTATGTGTCGTGCGTCGTTCTCCAGACCCACCTTTAGGAAGTTCCCTTTTCTTGTTTCGTTTTGTTTCCTGGAAGCAAGGGAAAACCACGGTCCATACAGGGCAATCCACCTGCTGAAACGCGATGATGTTCTCCTTTCGGGTCGTGTGCGCGTATTCAATCTCCCAGTCGACGCCTTGGGAGCTGAAGAAGTTGCCAAAGACCTCGTAGATATGCTGCTCCAGGATCACGTTGTTGTGCCACGCGCCACTTCAGAGGCGTGCCAGTATGTGTCGTGTGTCGTTCTCCAGACCCACCTTTAGGAAGTTCCCTTTTCTTGTTTCGTTTTGTTTCCTGGAAGCAAGGGAAAACCACGGTCCATACAGGGCAATCCACCTGCTGAAACGCGATGATGTTCTCCTTTCGGGTCGTGTGCGCGTATTCAATCTCCCAGTCGACGCCTTGGGAGCTGAAGAAGTTGCCAAAGACCTCGTAGATATGCTGCTCCAGGATCACGTTGTTGTGCCACGCGCCACTTCAGAGGCGTGCCAGTATGTGTCGTGTGTCGTTCTCCAGACCCACCTTTAGGAAGTTCCCTTTTCTTGTTTCGTTTTGTTTCCTGGAAGCAAGGGAAAACCACGGTCCATACAGGGCAATCCACCTGCTGAAACGCGATGATGTTCTCCTTTCGGGTCGTGTGCGCGTATTCAATCTCCCAGTCGACGCCTTGGGAGCTGAAGAAGTTGCCAAAGACCTCGTAGATATGCTGCTCCAGGATCACGTTGTTGTGCCACGCGTCGCTCATGTGCCACATCACGTCGCCAAAGTTGCTGCCCACGCGGCCCTCCATGGCCACGAAGCAGCACAGGCAGCGCGCGCGGATGGCGTTGAAGGCCGCCGAGTAGTACCCCCGCATGTCCTCCAGATCCACCCCCGCGTACCCGTTGGCCCCCGGCACCACCGGCTCGTTCAGCAGCCCCATGCCCAGCCACATAGGGTCGGTGCCGTACCTGCGAGGTTCGGGTGGTTCGGGGAAGCAGGGAGAGGGAAGCACGGAGGCGAAAATGGGTGAAGAAGCAGGTGAGAGGGCCTCAAAGCTGCACACATCTCAGGTGCAGGAGCCCACACATCTCCTCCTCAAGGGTTGCTGCCCACGCGGCCCTCCATGGCCAAGAAGCAGCACAGGCAGCGCGCGCGGATGGCGTTGAAAGCCGCCGAGTAGTACCCCCGCATGTCCTCCAGATCCACCCCCGCGTACCCGTTGGCCCCCGGCACCACCGGCTCGTTCAGCAGCCCCATGCCCAGCCACATAGGGTCGGTGCCGTACCTGCGAGGTTTGGGCGGTTCGGGGAGGCAGAAAGAGGGAATCAAGAGGCGAGAATTGGTGAAGAATCAGGCGAGGAAGGCTCTCCAAACCTCACGGCTTTCAGGTGCGGGAGTGTAGACATCTGGGGGAGGGGGGTGGGGAAAAGGGAGCAGCACAGGCAGCGCGCGCGGATGGTGTTGAAGGCCGCCGAGTAGTACCCCCGCATGTCCTCCAGATCCACCCCCGCGTACCCATTGGCTCCGGGGACTACTGGCTCGTTCAGCAGCCCCATGCCCAGCCACATAGGGTCGGCGCCCTACCTGAGGTTCGGAAGCCAGGAGCAAGAAGCAGTTGGAGCGAGTGAGAATCGAAGAAACGATCGAGAGACCCTAATAGCCTAACAGATTTCATGGAAATAACCCACACAACAAAAGCAAGCAAGTAATTACCCCCACCTGTCAGCAAGCCAAGGGACAAAGTCGAGGGTGCGGTTGACATTCTCAGGTGACTTTTGAGTCGACTCAAATGGTAGCCTCACCTGTCAGCAAGCCAGGTGACGAAGTCGAGCGTGCGGTTGACATCCTCCCCTCGCCAGCGAACAAGCCCATCCCTCGCATTCCCCTTTTGAGGCGACTCAAGAGGTAGCCTCACCTGTCAGCGAGCCAAGTGACAAAGTCGAGCGTGCGGTTGACATTCTCCCCTCGCCAGCGAATCAGCCCATCCCTCGCATTCCCCCTTCCTGCCTGCGACCCTGGCGCCACATGCACACTGAACCAAATCCTCACTCCGTACTTCCTCCCCATTTCAAACGCCCAGTCTAGATATGCTGCTGCGCCGGGCACAAAGGGGAACTCTGGGGTGGCGTCAAGAGCAATCCAGTAGGGCAAAGGGATGCGGGCCGTGTTGATCCCCAGTTCTTGCATTTTTGCCCAGTCTGCTTCAGTCATGAAGTTTCGGCGAATGTTCTCGTAGAGGGTTGGTGCTGCGGCACCGGCTGTGTAGGCTGCCTGAAAATCCCCCTCCACCCGCCACAGCTGGGAGCGGGGAGGTGGAGGTGGAGGTGGAGGTGGAGGTGGAGGTGGAGGTGGAGGTGGAGGTGGAGGTGGAGGGCGGGGGAGAGGGGGAGAGTGGGGAGAAGGGGGGGTGAGGGGGAGAGGGGGAGAGGGGGAGAGTGGGGAGAGGGGGAGAGGGGGAGAGTGGAGAGAAGGGGGGGTAAGAAGCACGTAGAGGGTTGGTGCTGCTGCACCGGCTGTAAAATCCGCCTGAAAATCGCCCTCCACCCGCCACAACTGGGAGCGGGAGGGGAGGGGAGAGAGAAAGGTCAAGAGGGAAATGGGGGAGAGAAACGAATTGGACTTGGGGAAGGGTGGTTGCCAGAAAGCGAGGGTCGGTGTGTAGGCTCCACTAAGCTAAAAGGGAAGCGGGAGGAAAGGAGGGGGAAGGAGGCGCGAGGAAGAAGGAAGCACTCACCACAGGCGCGCGCGTGGACCAAGGCGCGTGCGGTGAGGTCGAAAGCAGCAGCGCTGGTCCAGATGGCGTCGTTGCTAAGGGTTTGTTGGAGGTCGGTGGTAAGAGAGCCGTCGAGGTGCGCTTGGAGGAAGAGGCCACGTGTAAAAATATTATTTTTGAAAAAAGAGACGTCTCAACAATAATCTTTGTACACGTGGGAAAAAGGGAAGGAAAGAAGGAAGGAGCGAGGAGTTCCCAAGCAAGCACTCACCACAGTGAGGTTGAATGCAGCAGCGCTGGTCCAGATGGCGTCGTTGCTAAGGGAGTGTTGGAGGTCAGCCGTGAGGGAGCCGTCGGTGCGGGCCTGCAGGAAGAGGCCGTTGGGAGCGCGCAGCACCACGCGCACACTGCTGCTGCTCTGCTCCGTTGATTCGTTAAGCGGCGTGTTGAAGATGAAGAGCTCAAAGTTGCTCGCTGCACCCTGAGAGGGAAGAGGGCGAAAGGATGGTGCAAATAATGCCTAGGGGGAAACCATAGTTGCTTGCATGCATGCTACCTCTTTAAAGCTTCAGACAGGTGATTCACTTAACTTTAGTGATTCGGTCAGTATGACTAGTGGTATATGAGCTTCAGACAAAATACCTGACCTTCTTTCTGGCACATCACAGACCATACCATAATACACCGTACCATACCACACCGCTGTGTACCTCGGGCTTTGTGGACTGCACCCAGACGTATTTTGAGTTGCTTCGCACAGCCCAGTACTGCAGCCACTGCACGGATATCTGATGAGGCAAGTAAAGAGGGGGGAGCAGAAACACAGGGAAGACGTTCAGGGCCGTCAAAGGTCACGACCCAGTACTGCAGCCACGGCACGGATATCTGGTGAGGCAAGTGTGGTGGGGAGAGCAGAACGTTTTTTGAGAATTCTCAAAAGGTCACGACGCAGTACTGCAGCCAGTGCAGAGATATATGATGAGCCAAGTGCAGAGAGGAGAGCAAACCGGGTAGCAGGTTATATGAATATAACATGACATAACCTTGTTGAATAATTGTTTTTCAGTTCAACACGGGAAATTTGACCAGCCAGAACCTACAGGGAGACTAGACGGCAGTGCCTTACTCTGCGAGTGTTGGGGGAAGCATTTTCAACAGTGGTGAGGTGGAGGTAGGTGTCCTTGGTTGTGAGTGAGTCGTTGCACCTCATCTGCTCGCTCACAACACAACAATGAGGGTGCACGGGAAAAGAGCGCATGGGTTGGTGCACGAGTGTTGGCATTCTCAACGGTGGTGAGGTGTAGGTAGGTAGGTGTCCTTGCTAGTAAGTGAGTCGTTGCACCTCATCTGCTAGACGGGAGAGGTGAGAGGCGAGAGGGGAGAGGAGAGAGGAGAGAGGAGAGAGGTGAGAGGCGAGAGGTGAGAGATGAGAGGCGAGAGGGCGTGCACCTGGGGAAAGCGCAACAATGAAACACCAAAGAACGGTGGTGAGGTGGAGGCGGGTGTGCATGGTGAGCGAATCGTTGCACCTCATTTGCTTGAGGAGAGAGGGGTGAGAGGCGAGAAGTGAGAGGCGAGAAGTGAGAGGCGAGAGGGCGTGCAATAGGGAAAAGCGCAAGAATGAAACACCAGAGAATGGAGGTGAGGTGGAGGTGGGTGTGCTTGATGAGCGAATCAAAGTACCTCATCTGGTGCGGTGTGATGCGGTGCAGTGCAGTGCACTTACAATTGTGCCGCCCCCACCAGGTGCAGTGACGTATTTTCCCGTTACCACTGATCGCAAGGTGAACTGCAACGACAGAAGACAGAAGCCAGAAAAAAGAAATGAACACAAAAGAAGAAAAAATCAGGAAAAGCCCCCCAGACAAAATTAACAAAGCCATGCACATAGCTATGGAGTTCACACCTAGATTGAAACAAGTGAAGTGACTTCTGTCAACACCTAGTGTCAATATGTCAGAAGGACTTCTTCTAAATTCTCCCTAGATTGTACCATACGATGTATTATACGATGACACAGTCACACCTCACACATTCTCCTCCCCATCTACTCCTCCACCTCCCCCTGTCCACTCACCCGAGTGCCATCACCATAGCCAGCAAACTTGAAAACGTCGCGGTTCATCCACGGCTCAGTCATGAGCCACGACCCCAGATTCGCCCCTCGGATCGCCGGCACCTCCATCACCTCCCGCACGACATACCGCTCCCACTCGCCCGCGCGCTTCCACCGGAACTGCGGGTTGCTCTTGCCGTCCTGAGTGACAAAATACCCGTCGGAGGACCGGAACGCGACGTAGGCTGTTCTCGGGATGTATCTTATGGTGAAGACGGCGCGCGGGTTGGACGTGTTTCGGGTCGTTCTGAGGTAGCCGAACGCGACCTTGGCCTTGGCTAGATACGTGTTGCTGGGGGTCAGAAACTTGATCTGGTTGGGATGGGCGAAGGGGGATGAAACAAACTGGAAGGTGGTCTGGTCTGAACCTCCATGACCTCGCGCACATCATACCGCTCCCACTAGCCCGCGCGCTTCCACTAGAACTGGGCTCTGGCATGGCAGCGGCTCGCCGAGCAATGCGCCCCTTCAACTTCGCCCCATTTGCTGCCGTCCACCAACCTATCTGGTCCGGACCGGAGGTGCTTTGCAACAAACTGGCCCTACCTCAGTGTTGGAGACTCTAATGACAGTGAGTGCTTGGGACGGCTCCAGCATGGCGGTGTTACGTGGGAGAATTCTTAAAAAAAAGCTCAAGCAGTTCACAACAAGCCCACCCTACCTCAGCCCATTTGCTGCCGTCCACCCTTGGTGCTTCTGAATCCCTTTGTGACAACCCAGCCCTACCTCTGTGTTCGAGACTCTGATCACAGTGAGCGCCTGTGACGGCTCTGGCATGGCAGTGACTCGTGCAGAAATGCGCCCTTCCCATTTCGCCCCATTTGCTGCCGTCCAGAAGGTGCCCCACCTCTTGGAGCGAACCATCACCTGCAGCAGGGGGACAGAGTGGGGAAGGAAGGGGGGGTTTTTTTAGGTGCCTCAAAAGACGACTTTTGAGGCGCCTCAAAACCCGGCCAGCAACGCGGCCCTCCCATTTCTCCCCGTTTGCTGCCGTCCAGAAGGTGCCCCACCTCTTGGACCGAATCATCACCTGCAGCAGGGGGGCCGCCCCGCGGGGTTTTGCATTTTTACGTGAATTGGAGAAGAAAGAAGGTAATGTGTTGGCTTAAACCAGGTGTCCCAACCCCTTTATCGATTCTTCACCCACCCTAGCCCCGTGTGCCAGCTGGCTGCTGAGTCACGTCAACGCAATCTTGGGATCATCCCCTCCCATAATCACACCCGTGCCCACCCACGCTCATTCGTACCCATGTATAACTAAACCTCCTCTCCATTCCACCTCTCCCCCTCTTCTAGGCTGCCTTACCGCTCGCTCACCCTAACCCCGCGTGCCAGCTGGCTGCTGATACACGTGGACGTCATCTTGGGATTTTACCCCCCATATCAATACCTACCCGTTCACTCACACTGCCTCAACCCCCTCCCCTCATCCTTTATCTCCTTCACTCACCCTAGCCCCGTGTGCCAGCTGGCTGCTGATCCACGTGGACGTCATCTTGGGAGTGCCACGTGGGATGACAGGTGCAGCATTGGAGCAGCACTGCCCCTCGCATCTTGGCCCAGGAACGGAACTCGGACTCAAAAAGGGACTCGACGGCTGTGGCGACCGCCTTGGGTGGTGCAGCCTGCTGAATGCGAGATTATGGGCAGCATGAAAAGCCCAGATAGCTTCTATCTCGGACTGGGGGTCATCATCTATGGGCTTCACCCATGCACGTGTCTTCCTGATCTTCCTGTCCTGCAGACCAGAGGACTTCCCATGCACGTGTCTGAAACGGCTTCTACTGCCACTCCACTCATGAGCCCTTCCCAATCGTGAGCTTGTTGCTTGTCCCGTCGCTTGTCCCGTCTCTTGTCCTCTCTCTTGTACCCGTGGATCAGGGTCACAGTTCTTGTTATGAGATCCCAAGCAGAGGCTCTCCAGCCATGGATCAGTTGTGCCATCGTTCCTCGTCTCTCCGTTCTTTGAGTTCTGGTGGGTAAAGCTCGGTTTGGAGGGGTCCGGATAGAGAGTTCTCGACTCAAGATCTCTTGAGCTGTCTGTGAAAGCGGTCGGTTTGGCATTGGCGTGTTGCGAGGGGGTCAGTGGAAGCCCAATGGTAGCAGCGGAGGAGGCGATGACGAGAGCCGCGATTGTAAAAGTCAGCCTGCGATGGAGTGCGGGGCGGGAGAAGGGTGCGGGGAGGGTTATGTAAAGAAAACAAGGAGAGAGAGTCGATAGAAGTGACAGCCACAATGATAGCAGAGGAGGCGATGACGAGAGTTGCGATTGTAAAAGTCAGCCTGTGATGGAGTGCGGGGCAGGAGAAGGGTGCGGGGAGGGTTAGGTAAAGAAAACAAGGAGAGGGAGTCGATCGATAGAAGCGACAGCCACAATGGTAGCACAGGAGGCGATGACGAGAGCAGCGACTGCAAAAGTCAGGCTGTGATGGGATGGAGGAAAGGGTGAGCGAAGGTTATGTGCGGAAACTAAGGAGAGGGAGGGAGTTGACGGGAGACTCAAGAAAGCAGAGGTAATGTTGTGATTTCTCTGTTAATTAAAAAATGAAGTGAGGTGAGATTGTAACAGAGAGATGGGTGAGGGAGCTGGTGATCAGAGGGGTATGAAAGATAAGGAAGGATTGCAGAGGGTGTGGGTGGAGGGTAGGTGGACAGGGAAAGCCCTGTGAGAGCTGGAGAGGGAAAGTTGGGCGCGTGGGATAAGGAGAATAAACAAATGCAGGGGTGCGGGCAAGAGGTAGCAGGCCGCATCGTCCCACGCGAAGCAGACGGGCAGCGGAGGGGGGTGGGAAGGGGGGGAGAGAGGGGGAGAGAGGGGGGGCGGGGGTGGGTGGGAGAGTGGTGGGGGGTAAAGAGAGCAGCATGCGAGATACTGTGCTGCAGGTTTCTTTCCTTAAGAGCAAATCGAGCCAGTTTGTGACCAGCCGCTGGAAAGTGGCTCATACTATGAAGCTTGCCATCGCAGTGTGTTCACCAGCGAGGAATCGAATCGAATTGAGAGTGCGGACTTTTGAGGCGCCACAATGAATGACACGTGGGTGAATGTGGGACCGAGTTCTGTGTTGTTGCCATAATATTCCTGTCGGAGTGGCGGAGTGGAGGAAAGTGCCCGCAAGTAGCACTGTAGTCCCCTTGAAAGCGCAGGGTCGCTTGTAGTACCCCTACGAAAGCTACTTACCCAATTTTTTTGCGCTCCAACCAACGCAACTACCCATGACATGTTGGTTGTTTTGATTTCATCGCGACAGGGAGCTCGACGTGGTCTCTACAGAAACACATTCTGGTGCGACCGAATGTCGGAACCCGCAAACCAGTCTGCGAATTGTCGGTTGGTTTCGCCACGACGAGAATGGGGAAGGTTTGTACTCGGTTTCGATTTCGCTGTTCGGTGAACACCTTTTTCGTGACAGCCACGTTGCACCAGCAGCACGCACTGGTGGTGGTTGGGGGACGGGGAAGGCTTTATCCGTGATTGTGGCATCCTCGGCAAAGGCGGAATGAAGGACACATGCACGATTGAATGAATGCAAGCAGCAAGATTAGGCATTCCCACCAAACCTCTGCTTTGACAAAATAAAACACACTTTTACAGCAACAGAATGGTTGACGACAGCCAGCAGCACATTCTATAACATTCGCCATAACTATTAACAGCATATTATATTAACAAGCCTACTTGGCGGGCCACAAACGGTACCAGCCAGTCCATGCTGACAGCAATCCGCTCAAGCCCAATGTAAGCGGGTGGCAGCACACCGGATTAGGCTCCACTTGAGCTACGGAAATCAGGAGATCGCCAAACTGCCCAGCAATGCTCAGAACACGCATAAGCCTCTCCATTCTGATGGAGCTCAGCGCAATCTTGATCTTCATTGCCTCCCCTTCCAGCCTTCTCAATTCCTCAATGTAAGCCTCTTTGCACGTGCATAGCAGCGGCAGATTGTGACTTCCTTGCCCTCCATCCGCTATTTCAGCAGCCTTCCCCTCTGGAACATCAGCAGGAGGGCCTACCTTCCCCTCTGGTGCAGCTGCTGCCAACCAGCCGTTTTCACCTTCGCTTCCCTGGCTGCTGTTGCTCTTCCCACAGTCATGACTCTGACTCTCAAAGCTGCTTCGCCGCGACGCATCAATACTGAACGCACACATGCTGCTGTCAGTGCCATCATCACCACCACCACTGCTCTTTCCATGGCGGGGGCTGTTCTTTGCTGTGAGGGCAAGGGCCTCTGCTCGACGGTGCAGCTCCTTCAGCTTCGCCTGGAGCTGCTTCTCCTGCTCCATTCCCCTCTTGATCATTATGATATCCAGCGAGATGAAGCACAGGTAGAGAACGGTCTCGCCGTAGGCTGATATGTATGCGGCCTTGGCTGCACGGCAGAAGGTGGAAGAAGGGAAAGGCGTAAAAAGATTGCTGGAAAGCAGACATAAGAATTGGAAAATGGTCGGCCACCACACCACAGCACAACACACCACTACACACCACACCACACCACGAAGAAACATTAGCTAGGCAAGGCAAGCCACTTATCTACAATTTACCGGCTAGTTTTGGCTCGAGTAGGCCGACTTTGGACATCCATGTGAGGTGATCAAAGAAGAAGTAAACCATTTCACCAGCACTGCCGACCACGGAAAGAGTTGTCACCTGAAAGCAGAGAGATTGAAACCGAAAGGGGAATGTATCTGAAAAGAAAGCCAGACCACAGATGTGCAGGAAAAACAATTGGAACGTCCGCTCAACAAGTATCACTCAACAAGAACCGAGTGCGCATGCATGTAAAGAGGCAAGGCGCACCCTAAATTACAGCCTGCCTTCGACTCACCTTCCAGTCGGAGTACTGAGTTGTCCGGAGATTGTTGAAACCGGTCAGGAATCGACCCAGTCGGAACGCCTTCCGGCTTAGCCCACAACCAATCTCAAATTTTTGAGCCCGGTCGGCCAAATCTGCGAGAAACCAAGCAAGAATGCAAGTGGATAGCGTTAACGTGATAGTGGACACACCCTATCATGTCACGCGCCTGGGAATTTCCTGTTGAAAGAAAGAAGCGAATATTGGAGCACATGCCAGGGTGCTGCTCCACTGAAGCGATGCCAATGCTCACCTTTATTTGTTCTCAGGAGCTGCCAGTGAGCGAGCTTGAAGACATACTGAAACGTCTTCACCAGCTTGTCGATGCCGTCGCGTTTCGCGAGAAATGTCACAAACTTGTCCAGCTGATCATTCTCCCTCACGAGAGCCATGAGAATCTGAGGAATTTATCCGACGAAGTGGAACTGCAGATTCTGTCTGGAGAATTACAATTGCTGGTGACTTCAGGGCTGTGACGGCGACTCGACTTTATCACAGACGATACCCTAGATTGTTGCTTTGAATGCTCAACTCCCAGCGCTCCTGCGGCACGCAGCCGTCGTGATTGATACGACAATTTCCCCTGCGCTTGCGAGGAGCTGGAGAAAAAATAGAGAGCACCCGTCGTGATTGTCGGTCGGCCTGAAAGAAATTGCTAAACTGCGGTCATATTTCAAGGCAACCACACGTGCGGAATGCCTAGAGCCACAATGATTCTAGGATACATGACTCAGCAAGGACAATGCGAAAATATATTACTTTAGGCGGTCTGGCTCTAATGGCACGAGGCCATGACTGGTTACAAGGTACTGATGATGTGAAACTAATGAGGGCGCAATAACTTCACGACCACCAAATTTGTTTCGTTCAATACATTTTCGCTTGGCTTTGTGTTTCGCACCACAGGTTGAGGAGCTGGCAGAAAATGAAGTCTCAAGGAAGACGGATTCCGTACACGTCATGCTGGCAGGCCCAGCTGCCAAGTCAGAACCACGTCCTTGTTCGTCCGGACCTGGCATCGTAGCCCCAGCTCAGGAATTTGTGGGCCTGCGGATAAAATAGCTCTTGAAGCTAGGTTCTGATAAACCTCCTTGTACACACATATCGTGAGTGCATAGGAACGCTTTCTCATAATGTGTTTAATTTTTTTTTTCATCGTTATTTTGTAAATCCATTCATAATCGATACATAGATACATCTTTTTCAGTTTTAAATGAAAGAAGAACGGAAAACGCAGCCTCAAGAACACCCCAGTAGAACAGCACATAAGGAACCCCAAAAGACACCCCAACGAGATACCCCCAACGAGACACCCCAACGAGACACCCCAACGAGACACCCCAACAATACGCCCCATCTAACCAAAACCCCCCACCCCCCTCATCTAAACCCACCCTCTAAACCCGCATGTCCACCAAATAGGGCGCATCCGCCCACGGAGCATCCCATCCCATCTCCTCCTCAAAATCCTCCCGCTCCACCGAAACAGCCTCTGGGCCTCTCATCGTCGACGCCGCGCGCAACAAGATCATACGCGCCTGAGCCCGCTGCAAAGCCACACCTATGGCCGCTTTAAGTGATCCAAGCAAGTAAGCCGAGAAACCTTTTCCCGTAGCTCTCGCCGCCAATTTCGTCTTCGCTACCTCGATCTGCGCGTCGCCCTGTTTCTTAAGCCACCGCCCAAAACTCCCCCCCAGGCAACCCCATGTCTCAGCAATGAGAGGTGTAAACTGCACTCCCCTATGTCGCTGCAGAAGCAATTTGTAGTCCGCCGCCTTCCGCTTTTCCCTCTCTCTAGCGGCAAAACCCACCTTGCGACCAATCTGTCCATGGTGCTGCGCGGACAACGAGATAGGGTCCACCACACTAACCTCCAGCGCATGCTCCTCCCCCTCCCTCAGTCTCCGCACTGCCACATCCACCCTCTTCCCTGGCAGCAACGTGTCGTCTTCCATGGTCACGACCCCACCCGCCCCTTTAGCTATCTTCGCCACCACAAACTTAACCGCGTCATGAACACGAGAAGGTGCATACTGGTACTTGCAGCGAAGGGCATGATGCGGGTCAGAGGGATCAGCAAACTCAAACCCACACGCGCACTTGCCGGCGACTATCAGCTGCTGTATGGGGAGGCCTAGGCGCATGGACGCACAGATGCTCCACTCGGCTGCGGTGAAGGTAGCCTCTTCGTGCGAAGGGACGGCGGAGACCCACGCCCCTGCCCCCGGGCCCTGAAGGGATGTGAAACGGGCCAGGGTGGCGTCGTCGTGGGCCATACCCCGAAGAGTCTGCAGACTCTCAACCGCTAGGCGACGGTGTTGTGTGGGGAAAAGCAGCACAGGGGGGTCAGCGGTGCATAAGGCTAGGGGTGGCATCTCCTGCCTGACCGACTGTTGCAGCAGCTCCACTGCTCTCGCAAACCAAGGATCCAGCAAGGTCGTAGCCTCGGGCGTGCGGAAAAACTCCTCAAACATCCGCTCCTCCCCTGCCACCCCCATCCGAGCCACATCGCTCGCTGCCTGGCACCAACCACATGCATACGACAGAGGGCTAAGGTCAGCTGCAGATCGAATGCCAAACCCTCCAAGTCTGGCTGGAAGGTGCAGCTGTAGACGGGCCATCTGCGACCTTGCCGAATCATGATCCCAGGTGCTATCTGGAAACAGCTGCTCAAAACAATCCTCAAGCTTCGTGTCCCAGTCGCGGAAAGCCTCCACAACCTCAGGCCGTGGAGGCATCGTCCTTGTGAGGTAAATCGGGCGCGCTGACACTGCGATCGCCAGCAGATGGGACGCAATCTGTGGGTGGTCGAGCAAAGGAAGCCAAGGGACAGGTGCATGCAGCTGCATCAGCCGGCCTCGCAAGCTGGTGAATAGTGCTAGTGAATTGAACATACCTGAAAGTGTGCAAGATATCATGCTAGTTTGTTTCTCTGAATCAGTTCCCATATCTGGTTCACTTTACAGTATTGGTGAATATAATATTCAGACAACATTCGAGCATATTGATGCTAAGTAAAATACATTCTGGAAAATATATTGCGTGCTAAAGAAGTTTATAGGCTGACTAACATCCAATTTTATGTGTTGGGTAGTCAGACATTCTACAGACTACATCATTTCCAGCGCGAAACATGTACAGGTGGTTCAATAAATTCGTGTCAAAATTCAATACTGAAGCCCCTCCCTGTCAGCCCACAGCAGCAGATTCTTGCTGACCGACCCTCGATTCTTCCTTTTCTCAACCTCCGCCATCAGTATCAGGCACCAGGAGGATTCGCTGCTTGTCAGTCAGGCTCCATAGACCAGGACATCGTTTCCCTTCCAGCAATGTCCTGAATTCCTTGCAGTTTCATCATTTTCTAGTAACCATTCCGTATATTTTGTCGTACGGTGCAGCAGGCTTCACTGTCTGATTAGCAGCAGTCATGGTGGACGCATCAGCACCAGCTTCGGAAGTTCCAGCCGCTTCCGAGCCTGTCCAGAAAGCGTCAGGCTCGGAAGCGGAGGCGAATGCCGAAGCTCTTCCGGTGATCGACATGGTGCCGATCCTGGAGCTTGCCGAGGCTAAAGTGTGCTCGTGTTCGGTGAACGACCGTGTCGGTGTGTTCGACGCATCTATTTCGTCAGCGCTGGACAGCAAAGGTTCGTTACGAAGGCATTATCAACCTAGTTACGCGAGAACGATTCACTAAACTGTTTTGATTTCAGGAATGTGATGATGACGGACGGATCTAGAACAGGATTGGTGGAACATGATGCTTGAAGTTTCTGGCAACGAACTATGGTATCAGATCGAGGTATAGTCTGACAGATAATTGGAATTAGTTGGTTTCCTTATCCACGCGACATTGGCTAACCAGGTCACCAAATTCTTACAGAATGAGGGGTTTCGGAGGGTTCTACACTGAACCGGCTGAACTTCGCGCAACAGCCAGTTCGATTTCCTGGATTGGTTTATCGTCGTCGTCGCTGATTCTTGAACAAATTTGAGCAGACAGGTAGCTTCGCGTTCGCTATTCTGTGTGGCCAGGATTCAGTGTGCTCCTGGATAGCCGGCTGATTCTATGGCATATGTCGTCTGATAAATCCTGGACAACCAGCCAGGAGCCTGTGGACAATGGCGTCGTTTGATAAAACCTGGATAACCAGCCATGATTCAATGACCAATGGCATCGTCTGATAAAACTTGGATAACCGGCCATGATTAGATGACTGATTGCGTCGTCTGATAGAACCTGGATAACCGGCCATGATTCAGCGGCATATGGCGTCGTTTAATAAGACCTGGACAACCAGCCAGGATTCTGTGAACAATGGCTTCGTCTGATGAAACCTTGATTTCTCTTATTCCCCTCAAAGTACTTACTAAAATCTGGATGACAAATCATTCCGCTCCTCCATTTTCGCCCGATTCTGCATCTTCCTGGAAATCTGGTCTTTCACAATCTCTTCTCCATCCTCCCGTCATCTGTTGTCAACCTCCCTCCCTCCGCTCCTTCGCCTCCCTACCCTCCCTCCCCTCCCTCCGTCCTCTCCCGTTTCTCAGCTGTGGATGTCGCATCAGCAGCACCTCGCCTCGCCTCTCTCATCTTCCAGACCCTTCCCATCTACTCCGACCGTCGCTCCCAAGCCTCTGTTGAGCGAGCTCTAACCAAATCTCTCAAGCGCGAAACTGCCTTTGTCAAGGCATTCGCCGGAGCTCTCGTCCAAGCCTGCGCCAAGCCAGGCTCAGTGTCAGCCTCGGTGGCCGGCTTGGTTCGGTACAAGCTGCTTAAGTGGTCGTGTCTGCTGCTGAGGGAGAGGGGGGATGCGATCGTGGGGGTGCGGGCGGCGTTCTCTCGTCTGGTAGTGGCGCAGGGGACGCTGCTGACGGTGGCACTGGGAGATGAGCCCAGGCTGAAGCGCGCTTCGTTGCATGCTGTCAACGAGATGCTTGGCGCAGTGAGTATTACGAATACCCTGAATACAATTGAAATATGTAGTAGTATAACTTTCGTTTGAGTAACCAGGAGCTTCCATTACTGTACAAAAACAATATGGCATGCCGCCTGATGTCAAAACTGAGAGCTTGAGTCTGCTTTTAGAAAACATATATGAGCGTGGTGGAATCTTAACACTACGTCCTCTTTCCTCCCCTCCCTCCCCCCGCCCCCCCCTCCTGCACCCTCTCTTTCCACCTCTCACTTTCTCCCTTGCACTTTCAGGTGCCCTCCCTTGCACCAGCATATCTGGCAGAGATAAAATCCACGCCTGTCACCCTCACCACAGTTGGCATCGCCCATCCCCTTCTCACTTACTTCCTCGAGTCTAAGGCACGCGAAGCAGAAGGTGCTGCAGCAGCAGATGGCGTAGCGAACGGGACTGGAGAAGCAGCAGCAGCAGCTGCTCCT